GTAATAATGCTCTTATACACTGTAAATATTTGTCACTCATATTGGCTTAATAAATTGAATAAATATTGGATGATTGGTCAGCAGTCAGGCAGGAAGTATAAGTGGGACAACCAGACTATGAGAATTCTGAGAAGAGGAAAGAGAGAGGCAGTCACCAGCCAGACACAGAGGAAGCAAGATGAGAATGCCTTACTGTAAAAAGGTACCAAGCCACATGTCTAGACACAAACCAGAATTATGGGTGAATTTAAGTCATAAAAGCTAGTTAATATAAAGCCTGAGCAATAGGCCAAATAGTTTATAATTAATATAAGCCTCTGTGTGTCTATTTGGGATTGAATAGCTGCGGGCTTCGGTGGGACAGAAACATCCAGCTACATTAGTTCTCTTTGTTTTATGAATGACCCGATTTGCTTCACCTTTTAGAAAATCCTAATGAAATGGTATGTATGAACCTCAGTGTTTGGAGGCGGAGACGGGTGAGTGGGGACTGAGGGCCACGCGTCTCCATTTCTGCACACTGAAATCCTGTCATGTTAGAAGTGCTTGGTAAACAAGCAAACTGAGAAGTCTGGGTGTGCTCTGAGGAAAAGAAAAGTTACAAAACACCCTTAATTATAAAATTTGGATAAACCAATAAAGTAGAAATGGTAAGTAGCTAACAGACTTTTCTTTTTGGTCTGAGGTATGTTTTAATTAATTTATGTGTTTTTATATGTGTGGGTGTTTTGCCTGCATTTATACCTATGCACCATATTCTCACCTGGTGCTCAGAGAGGCTAGAAGAGCGCATCCTATCACCTGGGATTGGAGATACAAATGGCTGTGAGCTGCCATGTGGTTCTGGGAATCGAACCTGGGTCTTAGTGCTCTTAACTCCTGAGTCATCATTCTCTTGAGTGCCTGTCTGAGATATTTCTAGTTGCAAAAATTTAGGATACTTTTAGTGTTTTCTTTAGGAAACTTTAAAACTTAAAGCAATTTTCTTTTTCAGAAAGTAGATAAGGGATTTTTTTTTATTAACCATGTAGCTTAGTGTATCTTGTTGCCATAATCCCCAGGGAACCGGTTAACTTGGAGTAGAACTTTGTAAGGTAGAAACTAACTGTCTTGGTTATTTTCTGCACTTGTTTTTGTAATTAGAAAAAAAAATCAAGGTTTGGTTAGGAGAGATAAATATTCAAGTTTTCGTTTAGAAGCACCCGTATGTCGAATATAATTTTATTTCAGAGGCTAAAAGGCATGTTTCTAAGAAATGGCTGCTCTGTTGCTCTGAGGAAACTCTGCTATGATAACACTCACTTTTCTGGATTTCACTGTGCCAGCTCTCTCTCTCTCTCTCTCTCTCTCTCTCTCTCTCTCTCTCTCTCTCTCTCTCGTCTCTCTGTACATGCATGTACATGTGTGTGCACATGTATGTAGGTCTGTATGGTGAATCTTGCTCTCTCTTGGGAGCAAACAGCCATCTAATAGATATGTGTAGTTGTTCTGTTATTATTGCCCATGTGAATATTTGCCTTAAGATTTAGGCCTGCTCCTCTGGAAACTGCTATAACTATTCTAGAAATGATAATATTATGATATTTAACATGCCATTTCCTTGCAGCATGTTTTTTTAATTTTAATTTTTGTGTACTAGAAAAATGACTTACAACTTGTGTAATTTTAGTAACTAGAACAAGATAGCTGAGATGTGGAGCTTCTCAAATCAACGGGAAGGTCAAAATGGATATCATTGCTGTACATGCTTACTTAGTTTTAAATATCTGGTTTAAATGTTTTATAGTCAACTCAAACATTTAAGTGTTTTTAAATGTCATTAAGATAGCAACTAATTAATATATTCACACAGTTTATTAAAGTAAACCAAATGCCACAAATTCTTCTGTTGCCTTTGTATTTATTTATAGGAGTGTGCGCTGCTTAATGTGTGCTTGCATTTGAGAAGCATTTCAGTAAATGTTTGCTCTTCACACATTGTGGACAGCTACAATCTTGCACTACTATTCGGTAGGCAAAACCATCAAAGTAATTAGTTTAAATCTACTTATCTATTTATCAAGCCATTCAAGTCATTTTAAAAATTATGGAAAAGGTTGCTTGTGGATTATGTTAGGCTGAGTTCTGCAGACACAAAACCAAGACAGGCTCTTAGAATGATGGAGTTTTGGAGGATGCTCTAAGATAGATTGTGAGGGAGAGGGGAGGATGCCTAGGCAGGAGGGCATCTCGGTGGAGGCTGACTAATGTCAATTGAGCTAGACTGGCATCAGCATTGCCCCCTTTAGAGGGAATTTACCTGGCTAACATTGTTGACCTATGTCTACATTCAGCTGCTATTAGTGACTGGCCTTGGAAATGGCGTGGGAGGGGAGTCTTAGAATGTGGTGTTTCTGCTCTGGCCCAGGAAAGTTCTCCACAGAAGAGAAGGGTCTCTAGGTGTCACCAGCCAAGACTCACAGTATCTTGGTGATGGAGATCCCCCTAAGAAACAGCCACTATTGTATAGATGGATAGTAGTTTAAAAGGACAGGCACTTACTGGATTAGGGTTCTGTCCCTTTCTTTTCCTCTTTGGAGAAAACCCACATACATACGAATCAGATAAGGATGGAAATTCAGCTGTGCTCAAGACCCTTTGATTTTAGAAATAATTTAAAACATTAATAAGGACGTGGACTTTAGTTCTGGTCTTCTATCGCTTGGGGGATGGTACTGAGGAGTTTCTCCTGCTAACCACTGTTAAAATGCATGCACATTACCGTGAGTGAAAATGGTCCTTGAGAGGGGATCAGAGGCATTGTCCTTGACAACCCGAGGGCACTTTAAATGCCAAGTGCACTCAGGGAAGCTTTTCTCCTGGGTTAATTTTCCTACTTGAGATGTTTTATTTGCAGAAGCCTTTGGCTGTTCTGCACATGCAGAACCTATCCAGTTGGAACCAAAACACTTAGTGTATTCATGAATGAATACATTTGATACCTTTCCTGAATTAGATCATTATGACACACTGAACAGTTTCCTTTGGATGGACCATCTTTCACCTTTCTTTTCTTCCTTGGATGTAGTAGGTATGGAGAATTTTCTCTTTTGAAATTGTTTTTCTCTTGCTCCTTATCAGTGGACTGAAGAAACTAGATGACCTTGTGTGAGGATGGTGGAATGCCCATTAGCTACTCTCACTTAAAGGTGTCTTATTTTCTTACAATGTCAAATGTTTCTCAGAGGCAGAAAAATACCTGGAAAAAAATTGAATTGCATAATTTAAGTTGTAAGATCATTGATAACAGTAGAAATAAACAATGGTAATCTATCTTGGATCAAAGAAATATTCATTACTATTAATAGTTCCTCTGATTGCATCTGTATTTGATTATTCTAATTTACTTAACAGGAGTAATAATAACATGCAAATAAAATCAGACTATAAAGAGGCATTAATTCAGCTTAGAGTTCAAACTGACAGTGCAACTTTTTCACTTTGCAACAGACTTTGTCAATACTTCATGTAGATCATGAATCATATTCCAGCGCCTGGTAGAAGTGGGAAATGGGGGGATGCGCTGTGGAGATGGTTCAGTGTTAAAAAGCACTTCCGGAGGACCCGGGTTCAATCCCCAGCACCCACAAGGCATCTTGCAATTGTCTGTAACTTTAGTTCTGGGGGATCTGATACCTTCCTACTAATGCACATAAAATAATGTTAAATAAATTATATATGTAAAAAGTGGTGGGAAGGGACTAGGCATGTTGGAATGGAGTGGACACAGGATTAGGGCATATGCAGGGTCTTGTTTACAAGTGATTTCTTGGTAAAGGTTCTTCCACCAAGCCGCACAATTTTTATTTCAACCCCTGAAAACCAAATAGTAGAAGGAGAGAACTGATGACGGAAGTCACAAAATAATCCCACACCAGTTCAGAATTATGAATAATAAAGGGTTATTTATTTAAGGGAAACTTATAGATCACTGTCCTAGATAACAGTCCTCTGCACAAACAGGAACAGAGACTAGAAGTGAGAGCGCAAGCACACACTTTACAACTGCATTTGCAGTGTAAGAGACCACGCCCAAGTGGGCTGGTGTCTTAAATGCTATCGGCTGAAGGAACGGAATGTGCTCCCACAGCAGAGAACTGACTCAGGTTAGAGGCTCTACAACTTCCTGGGCACCCATGTACACACACACACACACACACACACACACACACACACACACACACAATGCATGCAATGAAATCTCAACAAAAATATTATTTAGTCACCAGAAATGCAGCACCATTGTTCTTCCCACCACCAGTCTGTGGTGTTATCCACAAAGCAGGAGGTAAAGAGAATAAAGTAAAAGATTATTTGACTTGCCTCGGAGTGTAGACCTCAAATAAATGCCAATCTGTCTTTATTTCCCTTTATGTAAAATGTTCATCTATTTACATCTGTGCTTTTCTCCAGTGTAGAAATGGGGACTTTGTTGAATAAGAAAAATGTCTTTTTAGTCTTTATCCCTAATAGCTGTTTTCCAGTGTTTATCTACTTCGTTCACTGGTGACGATTTTTAAAATATTGCTAAAGGGAGAAAAGATTGCTTTGAAAAATAAATAAAATAAAGAAATAGAATACCGCTAAAGGCAAACTAGAACAAATATTAAGAGAATATTGTGTTTCACCAACATCTTCAAGTTGTGCCTGGAACACTGACAAGATTGAACCAATGACTGAACAAATCCACTGTAGGTGGGCTTAGTACTTCTCTGGAAAGTGCTCAGTGGTTAGCACTAAGGAAAAATGTCTCAGTCGGGCATGTCGGTGCATTCCCAAGGTCCTTCTTCCCGGGCTTAGTTGTGTAGGGGTGGGGTGACACTGGGCTTCTTTTGAGAGCAGCCTGAACAAATTAGTAAGACGCTATCTTCGAAGAAAGCCTCCTCCTCTGTGATTATTATAAGTCCCTTAAACTCCATGTTTGCTCATGTCTGTGTTGTGATGTTTTTTATTGCTTCCAGAAACTTCCAGCTAAGCGAAGAAGAACAGTGGATTTACCAGGCTGTCTTAGATCAGTACCCTGGAAATCTCCTTGGCAGAAGGACTCTGTACTTGGACATGTTACAAAGACACTTTCCTCACAAATCTAGGCATCTTTTGGTGAGTGCATCCCTATGATGAATATGTATATCCTACACACCTGTGAACTGCAGAGTTTAGTGGTCCCTAGTTAGTAAGCAGCCAAATTTATGCCTGTTAAATAGTTGTGGTGGTTTGAAAAAAAATAACCTCCATAGGGAGTGGCACTATTAGGAGGTGTGGCCTTGTTGGAAGAAGTGTGCCACTGAGGGGGCAGGCTTTGAGGCCTCTTTATCTCAAGCTTCCTTCAGTGTGATGGTCAGTCGACTTCCTGTTCCCTGCAAGACATAGCATCCCCAGCTCCAGCATCATGTCTGCCTGCACACACTGCCATGCTCCCCTTTCTGATCATAATGGAGTGAACCTCTGGAACTGTAAGTGAGCCACCCTCATGAAATGCTTTCTTTATGAGTCGCCGTGATCATGGCATCTTTTCACAGTGGAGAAAACCCTAATTAAGACTCTGAGAAGTCTTTATTCCCCCCACTATAGAAGACACTGTCATAGGTTGCAAGCCTCTGTGGGTCCTGTTTTAAGTCCATAAAGTCTGGGGGGACGGCCAGGGCCAGTACTGTGCCCTCACCTGCTGGTAGACCATCCCCACAGTTTCCCAGCTGAAGAGCAGCTGGTCCCACCCCTGGAGTTCACGCCATCCCTTACCTGCTCACTATGGAGATTCTGCCTTATCTGGCTCTTGCCTGAAACTAGAATGCCCACCTTCTTCCCACAGAGCCCGGTCCACTTTCATCCTAGGCCTGGGAGAACCAGCATTTACCCTGGGAAATGTTACTGGCCTCTATCGACGCAGCTCGGCCTGCTTCCCACATGGTCCCAACCACAGATGCCACCTCAGGGACCAAAGACACAACTGAAAGTTGCCTGAGAAGAAACTGGGAAATTAGTATTTCATTCTGAAGTGGGCATGGCGACGATATTGAGAATCTAAAAATTACCATGTCCCCAATCAATTCAGTAGAACTTCCCTGATAACACGCATGTGCAGATTTAACTTTTAAACGAGCTGGGCTGTGAAATGTCACACGGGTCCCCTTTTAATACTGTTTCAAATGAAGAAGCCAATCGTACGCACTCACGTGCGTTTGGAAACAACTTCCCGTGAAAGTCCTTTAGTGCATGAGACCATGGATGAAGCACCATGGCTATCACTAATGTCTGCCGAGGAACTGGAAGAGCGCACTGCCTGTGTGGCGGTCATCTCCCCTCCGTCTTACCCTTCTCCATCCCACTCGCCAACCCTGTGTAGTAAATATCCGTTTCTTTATTTAATTTTTAGAGATAAAAAACCCTTTTTTGTTCATTTTATGCATTCTTCATGCCTTTCGCATCATGCCCCTATTCATCCCCATTCATCCCCCAGTCCCTTTGTATCTGCCCCCTGCCCTTGCAACTCGCCCCCTCCGCAATAAAATAAAATTATTTAAGAGAAAAAACTTCATTGCGGAAGCTGCAATGTGACACAGTGAGTCACGCAGTACAGCCTTTAGTCTTGACATCCTTACTTGCAAGTGCTCATTGCAGAGTCATCGGCCTGGTTTGAGGCCTCTGGTTTCTGCTACACCATCAATACTGGGCCCTCACTGGGACTCCTCTTGAATATCCTGTTGTTCTTTGTTGTGGAGATCCTGCAGCTTTGGATCTGCAGGACTGGCCCCTTCAGGTGCTCCCACAGATCATAGATGGGGTAGATGTTGGGATAGGCCAACTCATAGCCCTGGTTCTGGTCTAGCTGGTAGCTCACTCAGCCCATCAGCTTTCCTATATCCTCACCACCCTGGGCAGACTGCCCCAAGCCAGGCTTGTGGGCTTCCTTCAGTTTATGGTGCTGGATCAGGTCCCCATGTAGTAAATATTTAATTTTGGTCTTTAAGTAACTCATTATAGATCATTAAAAAGTTCTTAATTGATCAAATTAGAGGTTTCTTTTTATTCCCTCTTAGTTCTGCTTGCCTCTGCAACTAGCCATCAAGCGTAACCATAGATTTTTATATTTTATTACTATTGATGTGATAAAGATTTTTACATTTACTTTCTACGTTGGATTGATCACCATATATTTCTGCACGGTGTGTGCTTCCTTTCCTTGATGCTTGACAGATGTGGAGTGTATTTTTAGCTTTATAGAACGAAGCTCAGAAGTGTACAGACTGTGTGCTGTATCTGGTTCAAGTCAGATCATGATCCTAATTAATTCCGCCTGAAGCATTGCTTTATGTGGGGCATATCTTAGCTTGCTTTTCTTTTTAAACACTAGCCACTTAGGGATCAAATAACTGATCCGATTCAGAGGTGTGGGACATTTGAGGAAAGTGAAAGATCCCTTCCAGCAGCGACTCTCGTTTTCTGAATCACCTGCAGTGATTTCAGACACACCAGACTCCCCGTCTCTGCGCTTCCCCTAGCACTCTGTGCCCCCCAGGGAAGAAGTGCCTGCGACCCCCTTGAGAAGCCATGTCCCTCATGGGAGTGGGGGGAGGCCGGAAGGTGTCATCACCAGAACTACGTTTAAGCATCCTCACAGCTGATCACTTTAGTGACGAAAGGCAAAACTGTGACTTTCTAAGATTATTGTGGCACTAAAAAGTGTTTTATCAAAGTATGCTGTTTAACGGAAACATAATGTAATCATTTAAAATACCAAAATTGATTTAAAGTGGAATACTTAAAATTGCATATGGGAGACAGATTGCTCTCCGTTGAAACATTGCCATTTAAAATTAAGAGTCAGTGGTATCATTAGTTGCCAGTTAGGCACAGTCTCTGAAGACCGGAGCTCGTGTCTTGTTCCTGATTATGGTGAGGATGTTTATCCCTACTTGTTCAAAATCCTTGATTATAATGAAGTTTGTCCATTTCCTAATGGTGACATAAAATACAGGCCTGTTTCAGAGAGCTAAGTAACCGCTGTCTGTTACCTTTGTAGGTAGAACATGAGAAATACTGTGATCAGTATCACTTTGCTGGAGAGCAGAGAAGAATCCTGATAGACAATTGGACTAAAAGCAGGAAAGACTTCCTACAGAAAGCTATGCTGACCCTCCTCGAGGCCTGTGCAGCCCATGAAATGGAGAGCATGCTAGCCAAGGACAGGAAACGACAGCAGGAGCTGTGTGCTGATCTGAAGGCCAAGGTAAGGCGTCGCAATGGGTGCTTGGATACCAGGGTGGACACTTAAGAATCTACCAATGCCAGGTGGTGGTGGTGCATGTTGTTAATCCCAGCAGTCAGGAGGCAGAGACAGGCAGAGTTCAAGGCCAGCCTGGTCTACAGAGTGAGTTCGAGGACAGCCAGAGCTACACAGAGAAACCCTTTCTCCAAAACCAAAACCACAAACAAAAACAAGTCTACATCTGTTCAAATTCTACTTGAAGCTCACTCTCTGGAAAGCCCATCTTGATGACAACTGTTGGTTTGAACTGTAAGATATTGTAATTCATTCAGGTAAAAAATGGCCAGCATTCAGCACTTCTATAAAGCTCAACCTACAGTTATTGTAACAGGATGTCAATATTGGAATGTTGATGGTGACATCTAAAACCAGCCAGAGGTGCTGCCAGGTGTGTCTAGATGGACCTATCCAACACTGAGCCAGACCCTATCACACAGAAGAGCTGAAATGGCCAAGAAGATTCACATGGAACATGTAGTGGCCATACGTAGCTCTCAGCAAGGTATGAGGGTATAGCTGGGGCTTTGTTCCTCCTCCGAGCCAGTGAGGGGGCTTCATTATGCTCGGCGAGCTTGTGGTGGGAGGAATGGAGTGTGGGTGTCTGCTGTACAAGGGCAGATGCAGAGATGCTGTCTCCATGTGAGAACTGAAGGCGTGGGTTGTCGCTCTGCTGGAGCAAGTGCACGATCCTCTGCAGTCACAGGGGCCACTGAACAAGTTGTGTTCGCGTGCAACAAGATACAGTCATCTTGGTTTACTGCTAAGTAATATAGGAGGACCCAGCAAGAAATTTTATTCTCTTACTAGAAAAGAAGCCTGGCGAGTATTATGGTATAGTTCTAATATATCTAAAAACAAATGCCTGTTTGAAAAAAAAATGAGAGGAAACATGCTGGCTTGACATGTTTTAAAAAGTAGGAAGATTTCCTTTTCATGAGTTTGGAACCTAGGAAAGTAGAAGTTGCCTCTTCTAGGCTGATCTATCTCAGGCTACAGAGCTGGCACATGTTTCTCGCCCTTGGAGACTGACAGGGAACACAGGGTCAGGGGCTGGGCAAGTCCTCGCACTACTAGACTGCCTCTGTCCACACTGTGAGCATTGCCATTCGCCCTTGATCTGTGCCATGAGCCATGCTGTGCTGCTCTGGGGTAACTATGTGCAGTCAGGCTCTTAAGTGAGCGATGGAGTGAAGTTCACTTATTCTTTTCCATGGGAACATTGAGTATGATATTGTGCATATAGAACGAACGTCTGTGCTTCAGAGGCTTGCTCATGGCTTACCCCCTCTTCTGGCTTCATCTCTACGGATGGGTTTGGTCTACTCCAGGGGTTTGATGCACAGCAAGCCATTGAGGATACAGCGTTTAAGCTCCTTATGCTCACTGTATTTTGTTAGAACCTTGTTTCACATTGGAGCAATTTGCTCTTTGTAGTGCTGTGTAGTATTTCATTATATACACACACAGTTTATTTATACGGCTTTCCGATGCTTTGCTATTCTGAACACAAGCAGACGTGCCTTCCCGAACAGACATGCTTATTTCTGTTGCGTCTAGGGAAGCAGAGCGGGTAGATCACGAGGTCTGAGTGGCCGTAGGTTGAGTGAACAGTGCTTAAATAGCTCCCCGAAGACGCTATACAGATTTTCAGCCGACATCCTTTGCGTCCTGTTTTCACTAGCCTTGCCTCAGCCAGTCTCGAGCTCAGGCTGGTCGCTGAGGGCCTACAGCTTCCACGTGCATTTGAAATAAAGACCAGAGAACCCCGATGCTCGCTGTCCAGCCGCTGAACCTTCCAGCCAAGTCTTAGCTGCTCCTCTCTTAGGTCCCTGAATTTCTGTTCCTCACTATGTGTTCTTTACGTATTCTCCATACACGTTCTGTTATTTTTTATTTTCTCCCAGTCCACTGCTTGCCTCTTTACTCTTTTTGGCAGTGGTTTCGGATGAGCAGAACAGTTAACAGTGTTTTGTCTCTGCAATTCGTTCCTTTTTATCCCCGTTGCAGGTGCCTCTGTCTAGTCATGCTAGTCCTTTCGTGATGGCTGCGGCTTTGTTTCTTGTGTGATAGGGAGCCTTAGACTCTCCCATGACTCTCTGCCCCTCACTCTGCCCCTTCCCCTGCACTAGGTTGTCACTGGACACTGGTGCCCCCAGGGAACGAGTGCTCTCCCTCCCTCTTTATCCACAGCCCCTGGACCTTGGCCCTCAGCCTCCCCAGTGACCCTAAGGATGTTTTCCCCCATGACAAACTGCCTGGTGCCCCCTTAGTGGTTCTCTTGATGGAGATACTTTCCTGCCATGCTCAGAAGAGGATCTTTTCCTTCTCTTTCCAGCTCCAGGGGTCTGTTGGCCTGTTCTGTGTGCTTGCTGCCCTTCCCCATGAATCTGTAATATGCCCCTCCCACTTTCAGTTTCTCTCTTGTATACCTGCACTGCCATTAGAGACTCCCTTTCCTTGGACCTGTGTCTGTCGCTTCTGCCGGCGCTAGGATTTCATGCTCTGCTAAATCAAAATGTGAAAATCATTAAAATTTATCAGTTCATTACAGAGGCCTAGCTGCTGTCTTCCTGCACCTATGCACAGTGACCTCATCTGCAGGTGGTCTGCTGTAGGTGAGCCACCTCGCGTATCACCTGTGTCCTTAGAGACTTCTGTCCTAACTCAATTATGGCCTTGTGGTCTCTGCTGATGGGTTTGTGAAAAATTCTGACGAAGGTGAATCAGCTTTTGAATTCTTTTTTTTTTTGCTGTGCAAGTAGGAGCGACATTCTTTTTCAACTTTTTATACCCAAATGGAAGCTGGAAGATCTTAATGAAATCCTGCTCATCAATGTTTTAGGTGCCCTAGTTAGAGTGCTGGCCAGTTGTAAGAGGTCATTATCAGGGGTATCCTGCCCAGGCAGGATTTTTGTGCCTACCTGGGTCCCCAACAAAGGTACATGTAACCCCCAAACAAAGGTAAAATGACAAGAGGTGACAACCTGGTAGGCTAGTCAGATGAAAATGTGCAGGACCCAGTAGGGACACTTTTTAGGGACGGTCCAGTTAGCAATTAAGGCAATGACATTGCTAGGGCAGCAAGAGTCAGCATTAGCCACCAGCTGGGTTTAGTTGTACCCTGTCAATGACATCAGAGGACAGTGCTTGACTCCCCTTGTCAGGCCTTCCCTCTTCCTTTGCTTTTCTGTGGGACCTGGAGAGCAAAGGTTCCAGGAAACGAAAAGAGAAGTCATTTTAGGATCATAGAGGAAAGGACCCTGATCTACTGGACCTGGATTCTGATGTCTGAGAGTGTGCTTTCTGATTTATAGCCCCTAGTCTGCTGAATTTGGATCTGGGAGCTCTCTAGGTCACAAACTGGGGTCTATAAGTCATAAAATGCTGCTTTTATTATTTCCCATACATCACACTGTCCAGTGTGTCCTCAGCACACTGAGGTCCTCTTGCTCTCCATAGTCTTTCTGACAGTCTGCTCAATCCCAAGCTTCAGCTGACATGTGAGGTGGCGCTGCAGCGCCTGGCTGACTGGAAGACAACACAGGCATATTCTCTCAGGAGAGATGTGACTACAAAAAGGCTACCAGGGTTTGAGTGTGTCACCCAAGGTTTGTGTGCTGGGAGGTGGGCACGGTGGAAAGTTGTTAGGTCACAGGAACACTTCCGGGGCAGGTAGCTCTTCCCAGTGTCCATTCGCTCTCATGAGAATGTGCTATTCTAAAGCAAGGTATGCGCTCTCTTGCATGTAGTCAGCCCTCTTTCTACTTCTCCATCATGACTTGAAGCCTCTGGATAGCCTCCTTAGGATACCAGCACCATGCTATTTGGACCCTCTAGCCATCAGCATTGCGAAACAAACAAAATTTTTTAGAAGTTATTTAACTTCACATGTTCTCTTAGAGCAACAGAAAAAAGATGAGGGTGAACGAATGCACCCGCCAGCGGGTGAGTGGGATTTAAAAGGGGAGACTTATGAACCCAAAGTTGTGGTGAAGTAGATTTTATTGTCCCGCAGATAGAGTGTTGCCATCAGAATTTGCATTCCTAATGGGGGAGGGCTAGGACTCAGTAAATAGCTGGGATGGAGATATATTATAAAAAGAAAGAGATAAATCTGTACATTGCGCAGTAATTTACAATGTTCAATTATGCTTACAGTTTTTGACATGGAAGAAACCATGAGATTTATTTCTTCAGCATCAGTTTATAGCTGAAAGCGGAGTCCTGAGAGATGAAGGGACTGCCTAGGGTTCATACTCGCTCATTCAGTTTGAAATTCAACACTATCTATCTCGGCCCCACACAGGTTTGCATACAAAGAACACCACAGAATAATGGAAGGTATTTATTATCCCGTTGGCCCCAGGTGTGCTATGTATTAGACCCACAGAATGTGGGAAAAAATATTACTTCATTGTATCATAAATTTGACCTTTCAAAAACTAATACACTAGCTATAATAAACATTAATTAAACATTTAACCATAATTTTGTTCTCAGGCTTAGAATTTAAAAGGTCTTTGGGGGAGTGAGTTAAATGATTTATGTCTTAAGAAAAGCCTTTGAGAAATTTTGGAATGCTGAATGCCTGTTCTTTGTCTTTTCGGTGGTCTGTCAGTAATGGCTGCTATAGCAAGGAGAGCTGGTTAGACCTCTCTCAGGATGAGACAGGGTGAAGCATGCGTTCATATCTCCTACTCCCACAAACCCTGCAGCCCTTGTGCTGTGTCCAACTCAGACCATCCTGTTATTTCTACAGGCAATTCTTCCATCCTGTCTTCACAGTTCAACCGAGGAGGCTTCCCTAAGATGTCTAGGTCTAGTCAGTGACTTTCTTTGCTTCCATGCCGAGTGACCGTGTATGGCTGTGGAGAAGACAGCAACCTCTAGATTCTCATGCCCCCTGGGAAGCTTGTTCTCTTTCTTCCCATTCCTTTTGTGACTATTATAATGCCCACCTG